CTTTAAAAGGGCATAGTAGGATTCCAAAATAGGTTCTGCACACACCTCCAAGAATGATGCTCACTACTCAACTGAAAAATAGAGTCACACAGGAAAAGGGATGAAGAGGATCTTCATGGAATAAAGATTTTTCTTAAATATTCAGGGGCTATGTTTCTCTACCTGGGGACAGTCTCCTAAGAGGGGCACGTGTTAGCCCCTCATCACTTGTCATCCATTAGGTTGGACCATAAATGCTGTTGTTCTGCTGCTGATTTTCAGAGAGCCATGGAAGGGTCTTCTTCAGATGTGACAAGGACTCAGTGCCTCAATGCCTCTTGCACCATCTGCTTGTATGTAACTGTATTAAAACTAAACACATGACTGTAGGCACTGTCAGTTTTGCTTCTCACCATCTTAGTTTGTGTTCCTCCAGAAGCCAACCTGGAACAAAGGTTTAACTGCAAGTAATTTATTTGAGGGGTGATCCCAGGACACAGTAGTAGGGCAGAGAGACAAACAAAGTAAGTAAGCCAGAAAAGAATCATTCCAACTGGAGCTTAGTCCCACTGGGGAACTCTGGAAAACAAGGTAGGACACAAATCTCAGAGGTATCCCGCCTGAGGACTGAGGGAGCCAGGATATTTATGTGTCAGTTTCCATCGATCAATGGTTGAGGGATGCTCTTGAGAAACAATTATATATATATCTTATCTGGAAAAAAGGAGCCTCAGTTCCTAACTCATTCCACACAATTTAATGCAAGGATGATCATAGGCTAGGTAGAAAAATTGTAACCACAACCGCAGTGTTTCTAGAAGAAAGCTGTAAGAGAATATGTGTACAACTTTAGAATAGGCAATGTTTTCTAAGGCAAATACAAAATACACTTTTTTTTTTTTCGTTTGTTTTTTGAGACAGGGTCTCACTAGTTGAGACTGACCTGGAACTCACTATGTAGCCCAGGCTGGTCTCAAACTCACAGAGATCCTGCCTCAGCCTCCAAGTGCTAGGATTACAGGCATGTGTCACCACGCCTGGTTTACGCTTTTTTGGAAAAAAGCCCCTAGGGCTGGGGATTTAGCTCAGTGCTGCTGCCTCCTGTTTTGCAAGCACAAGGTCCCAAATTTGGTCCCCATACCAAAAACCAAAAGCCAAACAGAAAAAAACAAACAAACACAAAACAACAACAAAAAAATCTCAACTAATAAAAGCCCCTGAACAATTAAGGAAGCACTTCATTAAAATTAAACATGTTTGCTCTGAAAAACACTGTTATGAAAATGGAAAGGCAAATCACAGGATGGGAACATATTTTCATTATCCAGATCTAAGAAAGGACTGGTATCTAGAATATATAAAGAACCCCTACAAGTTAATAATGGCAAAAGATTTGAAAAGACGTTTCATGGCATAAGATAATCAAATAGCCAATAAGATGGTTGATAAGGGGCTCAACTGTATTCATTAGAGAAATGCATGTTAAAATCACAGTGAGAAATCACTGTGCCCCCACTAGAATAGCTAAAACTAAAGGCAGCAATGCAAATGTCAGAAAGGATGGAGAGCAGCTGGAACTCTCATATTTTCCTGATAGGGATGCAAAGTGGTACAACCATTATGGAAAACTATTGGGCAGATTATAAAAAAAAAAAAAAAAGCTAAATTAAACACATCTCTCTAGGCTCCAAAAATTCTACTTCTAGGTACTTACTGAAGTTAAATGACAGTGCATCTCTACAAAAAAAGACTTGTACAGTAATATTCATAAGAGTTTGGGAGAAAATACTGGCCAACAATCCAAATGTCCAACAACAAGGGTGGAACAAGCAAATTGTGGGCTGGATAGATAGCTCATTGCTAGAGTGCTTGCCAGCATATGCAAGACCCTAAGTTCAAGTCCCAGCATTTCAAAAAACCAAAGCAAAACAAGCAAAATTTGAAATAGTCACACAATAAAACACTATTCATGCACAAAAAAGTAAACTACTGTACTGATGTATACAACATGTTTGAGCCGGGTGTGGTGGCACACGCCTGTAATCCCAGCACTTGGGAGGCTGAGGCAAGAGGATCACTCTGAGTCTGAGACCAGTTTGGGCTACATAGTGAGTTCCAGGTCAGTCTCAACTACATAGTGAGACCCTGTCTCAAAAAACCAAACCAAACCAAACCAAACAACACAACATGTTTGGAACTAAAACAATACACTGAGCAAAAGAAATAGGTACATTCTGTGTGGTTTCATGTATATAGAGTCTGGGGACAGGAAAGCTAAGCTACAGTGATCAAAATTAGACCAGAACCCACTTTACAGACCCCCCGCTGTCTCTCTTAGATGAAACCTATCTGTCTTTCAATAAGTTATCTCCTACTCTTAAAAAAAAATAAGGCCAGGGAGTTGCCCATGTGGGATGGAGATTAGCTGGAAGGAGGCACTTACAAGGGGATGTAGGAGTTTTGGGGAAATATTTTATATCTTGTTTTGGATGTGGTTACATGAGTGGACATAGGTATCAAAATGTGCCTCAGTGAACATTTGAGATATGTGCTTTTTATTATATAAAACTGTGCCTTAATAAATATTATAGCTTTACCTTTTAAAAAGAAAATACACTGGCCATTAAAAACATGGAGAAATTTGCTGGATGTTCTGGCCCCCGCACTAGAGGGCAGAGCTTCAGAGGGCAGAGCTTTTGTCTGATTTGTTCTCTATAGTAATCCCAGCACCTCTTACACTGTTGGGTCCCGTTAAGTATCACTAATATTTTAACTATGCATGAGTCTCATGCATTGAGCTGTGGCTTTGTCATAGCTCCCTCTGCAGACATGACCTGTTCTTGGCAGACACTGGTGGCCCCAGAAGCTCAAGTGCAGGTGCCATTGTCTAGAAAGGGAGCTTGCAGGTGGGAACCCAGCAGGGCCCTGGGTGTCCTTGTGCACTGACAGGGTCCCAACTGTGAGCACCATCTGGTCCTGTAAAGGGTGTCTGACAGCAGCTGCAGCCCTGGACCTAGAAGGTGAGTGCCTTTGAGACCCAAGGTCAGGTTCCTTTTCAATCCTCCCTCTTTGTAGCTGGCCCATGGAAAGTCAGTTTAGCCCTGGAAACAGAAAGTACCAATGTGCATACCACTTTGCAGTTTACCAAGGTTTTTTTTTAACGTATTATATTCTATCCTTTTAATAACCCTGTAAAATAGTTGTTTCATAACCTTATATTTCAGGTTAAGTCACTTACTTCCTCAAGGACACACAGCTGGCAAGTGACAGACATTGGATTCAAATCAAACTTTTAACCATTTACTACTGTATTAAGTGCAGTAGTGCTGTGTCATTTAAGGACCTTCAGAAGCTGTTTCTGAAATCTGACTCCTTCAGTAAGCTTTACTGGACTAATGAAAAGATATGTAGCAAATCCCTCTTGCCTTTAATCCATTTATCCCGCATGCCCTGAGAGATAAACCTGGCTGGACCACCACTAGGATAGTGTCACTTCCCCGTGCGCATTTTCCACATTTCCTTATCACCCTCCAAGTCAAATTTAGCTACTGTTCAATGCTCTTTTGCCCCACTCACCTTTGTAGCCTCATCTTCCTTAAAGAAACCTTCAGAAGCTAGGAGCTCAGTGGTAGTGTATGCACTTAATATGTGTGAGGCCCTGAGTTCAACCTCCAGCACTACCAACAAGCAAGAAAACTTTACATTCTAGCTAGTTATGTCATTATCCTCATTCTAAAAACTTTCCTCCTCATTTTCCCTTCCACATGGAATACCAGCATCTTCCTTCCTTTGGGAAGCTTTCTTACTGTTCAGGTCCTAACTCAAATGCCACTGCACTCCCTGTTGGTAGACTTTCACTTTATTGAAAACTTTAGAGCTCATGGCATTACTTGTTAGGTGTCTTAGGTATATTTGTACCTTGCTCTGTCATCCTTATTAGATCCTAATTTCCTGGAAGTTACATGTATGCATTACCCATTTCTGTGACCAGATGCTGACTTGCATAATTATTTGCACACTGTCGATACTTTGTAGATGCTTTGTAGATTAAGTTACCATCTTTCCAGCTGTCATCTATACATAGTAAGCTTTGGTATGTATAATTTAAAAAATGTTTGCATTTTAATTCTATTTCATATATTTGGTTAACACGGACACCACATTCTGTTTACTTTGCTTCTGACTTGACACAGACTTTATTAATACTTAAATGCTTTGCAGGTGGGGCTGACACATGGAGAAATTGTGGAGTTGTCCACAGTTCTACTCTGGCTCTGCCATTCACTGGCTGTGTAACCTGAGGCAAATCATATCTACTTTCTGGACCTTATTTTGCCTCTGTATTTTTGGGGTGTAATGATTCCTTTTTTATTCTTTAATTTACCACAAGGTTGTTAGGAAGATAAATGAAATAACATGTAGAACTGCTTCATCAACTATAAGTCACCCAGTAACTTCTTTTAGTTAGTTGCACCTGCTGTTTGATGAAGGCACACTTTTTGTTGCTAGCAGCGCCCTACCCATCTGCTTCTCTCTTGTGAAAAACGGGTGGTCTGGATGGAGTATTTTTACGGGGGCAGGATGAGAAATAAACCACATTTATTGCATGGCCAGTGGAACTGGGGCTGTGCTGTGGTGTGTCTGAGGTGTCATCGGAAAGGCTGCTGCAGAGGGAGACCACAGAACCAGAGTAGGCCCTGGGTGTAGAACTACCAGGGAGTCAGCCGTTTGGGAAATTTCTCAAGTCAGAGTTGCTGGACAACAAAAGGCTTTAGGGAATGTGACGGTCCCAATGCTGCAGCGCAGAAGGCTACTACCATTTATAAGCATGAAACGCCGCTTCAAGGAAGGGGTCACCACCCTTACCCGGTGCCAAGAGTTAGGTGAGACCATCGGGCTGGAAGCGCCACCTGTAGGAACATTTCAGGCCTTCCCATTGGCTTCCGCGAAGGAGGAGGGGGCACTTGGGTTGTTTTGCTTTGTGATTGGCTAGTTGGGCAGTTTGGCAAGTCCCAGCAGGCTGAGCGTGAGGGCGGCCAGATATGGCAGAAGCGGGAAAGGGAGCTACGAGCCTCGGAGTTCCAGGAGGTGACGCCGTTCAGTGGCCTTTGCAACGCTATGGCCGTTTCATGCTCTCGGAAGTCGGAGAGCTGTCTGGGTCTGGCTCTAAACCTGGGGCAGCGCCCTCCCCTACGTGGAAGGTGAGGCCTAGGGGCAGAAAAGATCACCAGGCTTTCGTACTCCAGGGAGTAAGGCAAGATTAGCCAGGCCGCACTGGCAGGAGGACGGGAAGAGAAGACGTTGAGGAACCGACTGGCTTGTTGAAGGCGGGCAGGTCTACAGTTGACACAGGAGATATGTGTGCGTGCATGTGTATGTATGTGTGTATTTCTAGGAAGCACAGTTATCAGAATAATCATGTGAGCGAATAGTAAGCATTCATACACAGCTATGCAGTAAATATTGAGCATCAAGTATGTTGCAGAGTCTAGTCAGAGTGCTGGGAATATAGCAGTGAGCAAGACATAAATGAGCCCTACCTTCTAGTCGAGGATGAAATATCTACCCAAATAACCGTAAATTATCGAAGGAGAGATTAAGTTCACCAAGTCGTCGTGTGTTTTTTGTTTTTTGTTTTTTTTTTTTTTTGTACGGGGATAGAACTCGGGTCCTTGAGCTTTGAAAGGCAGGCGGCGGAACCACTGAGCTAAATCCCCGGCCCCATGCTCAGGACTAAATTTGAATTCAATTTAATTTTTGTTTATGCATGTGCTGGGAATTGAATCTAGCCCTCCAAAGTGCTAATATGCTCTGCCACTGAGCTACATTGCCAACCCCTGGTTTCCAGCTTTGCTTCTTGAATTTCTGTGTTCTTGATTAAGTCACTGAACCTCTTTTATATCTTATTTATCGTAAAGTAGAAATAATACCTTAATATTGTCTCAAAAATAATAGAAGTGAAATAGATATTTATAGAGAAAACAATCCTACTTCATAGGATCCTTTTGAGCACTGAATCAGTTGTGCGTTTGTTTGTTGTATATATATATGTATATATACACATATATATGTCATCTGTAATAGAGCCTAAGTTATATGAGGTGGTGGTGGTATTGTTTTGCTGGTGTATTCTATCATTCAGTTCTTTTGGTCTGATTTGACTTTTGGGTGTTGACCTTAGGGTTTGGGGTTATCTACACACCCATACACATATGCACTAGTGTGTGCACTTGTGTTTGTGTGTTTTACGCAGCATTAGCTAGTAGAATAAAAAGAATATGCAGAAGGGACCCACACCCAGGAAAAACTTCCACACATATGATATAGAGGCCAATAAGGCTGGTGTTTAGGAAACAAAGAGAAAAGATGGAACTATCTGTAAGTAATTGGGGCCTTGTGAATATCATCTAAAAACCAGTGGGAAGCCACTGAAAGGGTCTAAGCAGGAGCATTTTTCCTCTCTGAAAGTATCATTCTGAGTGCAGTGTGTAGATGGAATTGGAGGGGAGTATGAGAGGATTCGGAAAAATCACTTAGAACACTGTTGCAATGTTGTAGGCCAGAGATGACATGGGCTAAACCTGGAGGATGATAGTAGAGATGGGGAAATTGGATATATATTTTGGAGGCTAAAAATGACAAGGCTTGGTGATTGATTGGATATGTGTGGTAAGAGTAAGGGAGCAACTAGGTACAAGGTTGTAGAATGTAAAACTCTGGAGGAGGAAGTGAGGGAAAGATCTAAGACTCCAGTTGGGGATACACTGTGTTTAATATGTTTATGAAACATCTGCATGGAGACATTGAGAAGACAGGGTATACTGTTCTGGACTCAAAAGTTAGATCTAGGGTGGAGATGTCAAGGTGTGAGTCAGCAGTATAATAGTGATACTTATAGTCATAGGACTTGATGAGGTTATAGGACTGTGCCCCAAGGTAGTCCAACATCTGTAGGTCAAGTAGAGGGGTGAGAGACCCCAAAAGGATAGAGTTGGGAATCCCTGGGGAGAATGAAGGCCTTTCAGTGCTAGCAAGAGTTATTTCAAGAGGGAGAGATTGATAAATTGTGGAATAAGCTGTAAACCGGAGAAAGATAATGACTAAGGAGTGCTCATTGTATTTAGCAGCATGAAGGTCCTTAATGGTCTTTACCAAGAGAAGCTACAGTGGACTGAAGGGAATAGAAGCCAGTTAGGAGTGAGCTGAAGAGTGACTGATAATGGGAGGAGAAGAACCAAAGTGCCTGGACAATTCTGAGAGGCTTCGCAGTGAATGTGAGCAGAGATAGAGCAGAGTAAATTATTCATCATTCTAGAATGTTAAAGGGCACTCTTTAAGGCTTGAAGTCAATATATCTAGGCCCATTTTTAAAAACATTAAATAACTAGTTGTGCTTTTGTGGAATTCAGTATCCTAAGAAATTATATAAGCTGAAAATACAGAACAGGGTAAGAAAGAGTTAAATTCAAGGATGATAGTTGTACAATTGAATGTTTATAAAAATCTGGGGATGTTTGAGGACATTGAACTTTTGCAACTGGTCCAATAGGTCTCTTGATAACTTCTCTTAACACTCTTTAAGCCCTTTTACCTAGGGCCCTAGAGCATCTGTGTCGCATAGGTTGGCTCAGGTGCAGCCAAGTAACTCTTAATGTTGTACTGCAACTCGGGGGCTATGGATATTTGACCATCTTAACAGTTGATGGTTATAACTTTTCTCTTTTTTTGCAAAGCTTCTCATATTTGCTTATAAGGAACAACACTTTTCAATAGTTTTCAAATGTTTGGCAAAAAGCCATGGCCACAGTGACAAGAGATGAGGTTGGCTTTTGCAGAGCTTTTGGAAACTGAACATTTGTACCTTCCTTTGAATCTCTGCCGAACCGTCCTGCCTGCTGTGATCAGTTTCGCCTAGGTCTTTTTTTTTTTCTTGAAAAGTGAAAGAGAAATAAGATTTGTTCTATTTTATGAGCACTGTGACTATTGTGCAATACTAATAATAATAAAAGATGAGCCATCTAAAGAACTGTACTCTCTAAGTCCCATGTGAATTTCTTATTTTAAAAAAGATGTGGTGCCTGCAGTAAAAATATGTTAGGTAAGGCACAGAAATATATTATGGTGGAGGATAAAGTCATTCTGATAGTTTTTTTTTTTCCTCTAGGGAACTTTCAAGTTCAATCTTGTATAAACCTATTTTGAATTTTTTCTGAAATTATAGAGAGAACCTGTGCTGGTTCTGTACTATTAAGGTGCTTAATTACAGAAAAGATTTTCATCACTGTGGCCATATGCTAAGACAAAAATGTCAACCCAAGAGAAAAAAATGAGTAGTACAACAAGACTTCTAAGACTTGAAAGCTTAGTTGAGAGGTAAAGTCAAATCTGAGACAAAGACTACATATGTAATATAACATGTAGGTATATTGATTTAATTTACTTCTCCAAATTGAGTTATTCTCACTAAAATTGAGTTATTCTATTAAAAGTCAGTATTTAGAGAGAAATTAATAATTAGGAAGCAAACTTTGTAACAGCAAAGAAGAAATAATAAAAGTGGGACAAAAAGTAATATTTTACAGCTATACTACTCACTTTAAAATGCATAGAAATCTGGGGATTTTGTTAGCAACGTAGATTGTGACTCAGTTGGGTAGATTTGGTGTGGGATGTGGGCTTCTGAAGTTCTAAAGAGTTCTCAGGTAGACACAGATGCTGATGGATTGGGGGCCACACTCTGAGAGGCAGGAGTTTAGCAGGTCTTGAATGAAGTGGGCAGCAAAATGAAGTATAGCAAAATTAACAAATGAATTTATGGAGTTATGATGTAAGTTAATCATATTTGTTATGAATATGCAAACATTTTATTAATAGGGTTAATATTTAAACCATCTGTCATCATTTAAATGGGTGAGCAAATGAATTACAAACTTGAACTTGATTTTTGTTCCTTACATCTGTTGGCCCAGCCTTTCTGAAAAGATTATCATAATAACAGATTGGTCCATTTTATGTATTTTATGTCTGAATATAATTTAGTCTACTAATTTGAGAATAATTTTGAAAGGTGATGTTAATTGCAGATTGCTTTTAAATTAAGGTTTTACCATGTTTTTCAGATTCCAAGTATTTCTCGACGTGTCCTAATTGGTTGAACCTGACAGCTTCTTAGTTTTTTTTCTTTCAAAGGGGAAAAAAAAGTCATCCTTTAAGTTTTATAGGAGGAACTTAAAATAATTGCCCTACTTAGAAATTAAGAAGTAGAATATGAAGTTTGTACTTGAGATGAACTTTTAAATGTAGGTTCAACATAAAATATACTTTGACTCCTCTCAACAGTGTTCTTTTTTTTCTTTCATATTCCACGTGCCTTCATTACTACCTAGTGTATGAATAGGTATTTAGGAAATGTTTGAATATGTGGTATGATAACTTTTCTTATAATAATGTGATATTATGAAATGGTAGCTACTATTTGTTTGTTTTGCTTTGTTTATAGCAGCCGTATGAAGCAAATGGTATTATACCCATCTTATAGAGAAGTGAACTGAAACTGAGTTTCATTAGTTTTTTTGGGAACACAGATGTAAATTGAGAAGAAAAAAATTCAGGTCTTGATTTTTCTGTCCCTAAAGCTTGTGCTTTTAGTTGCCATCCTGCTTGCCTTAGAAGCGTTAATATCTCATACGAGAATAACAATTCAATCATGTGGAGGAGGAATTTTGAGATTAGCACACATGGTGAAAATTACAAAGATGGCAGTGTTTTGTTTTTAGGAATATTTAAGATTCTGTAAACCCTAAGACATTTTTTAAAATAATAAAATAGGGCTGAAGATGTAGCTCACTAATTGAGCACTTGCCTGGCACTTGAGGCCCTATGTTATCTCTAGAACCAACCAATCTATAAATATATAATAGTTCTTCTTTGCATGCCTGATGAATTTTGATTGGATCTTTATTCTGAATTTTACCTTGTTAGGTACAGGATATTTTTGAATTTCTATAAATATTCTTGAGCTTTTTTCTGGAGCTAGAAGAGGTTGGGTCCTTTCAAGTCTTGCTTTTAAACTGTGTCAGATTGACCAGAGAAGTGTTTCACTTAGAGCTAATTTTTTCCCCCACTCCTAAGGCAAAACTCCTCAGAGAACTCTGCCAAATGCTCCATAAATTGAAATTTTTCACTTTGGCTGCTTAGAACA